AAGGTGTAATTCAGATACAAAAACATATTTACGGGGGTATGGTGCTGCCAGCAGGTCAATCTGTACCTGTCAGGCGAGTGCATCAGAAGCCTGATGATGCCTTCAGACTTCTAGATACCCCAAAATTTCTGCTATGCCTTTGGCCAGACCCCAACAACTTGGGGCCAAGTTTACCAAGAAAGTAAATGGCCAAAAGTTAGGAAGTAAGTTTATGGAAGACACACCCACAAACTACCTCTGACTCAGATATATAATTGGATGCAAAACCTCTCTATTCCGGATCAAGCTGCTTAACAGCCATGATCCCAGAGACTCAGGAACAAATCCAGGAACCCAGCAGGTTTGGGCAGAAATCCCTCCAGATTTAATTGTTAAAATTTCGGAATTCCAGGGTGGAGCAATAGCACGGGGCATTTGCCTTGCATGCAGCCGACCTGGGTTTGATTCCCAGCATCCCATATGGTCCCCTGAGCACCGCCAGGAGTAATTCCTGAGTGCAGAGCCAGGAGTAACCCCTGTGCATCGCCAGGTGTGACCAAAAAAAAAAAAAGCAAAAAAATAAAATAAAATAAAATTTCGGAATTCCAAAATCGTGTGGCCACTACTGCAGCCACGTGACATCATATGTTATTCATAATCAGCAATAGAAAACAAATTGTCTACAGTTGCCTTGTCAGCATATCTGAATGTCGTGGTAAAATCCCAAATAATAATGGTGGGTCTGGTGTCAAAATATTGAATGTGATAAAAGCAGAGAGAGAGTAATGTGGAAATCATCTGCCCCACAGGTAGGGGGAGGGTGTGAGATAGGGGGTATATTGGGGGTTTTGGTGGTGGAAAATGGGCACTGCTGAAGGGACAGGTGTTTCATTATTTTATGACCAAGACTTAAACCCAAAAAGTTTTGTAGCTGCTCTCACGGTGATTCAATAAATAAATTTATAAAAAGGAAAAAAAGTAAGGTAGAGTTTATGCCCAATTCAATCAGCCTAATCAATGGCTGAATAAATAGCAATACTCCTACATTAAAAATATTTTTTAAATAAAAATATATGTATTAAAAATGATGAGTTTGGACAGTTGCATACAGACATAAAATTACCAAAAGCTCATCAATATATTATCACTTCCAAAATTTTCCCTGCCTCTTTTCATAGCAAGAGTATTTCACTTAAGATCTACACTCTGAATGAACTTTTATGTACTCAATACACTATTATAGGTACTATGCTGCACAGAAGCGTTTTAAAACTCATTAATTCTGCAAAACTAAAACTATCAAATAAGAGCTTCCTTTTGTGATCCCAGCCCTCAGAAGCACCATTCCATCTCTATTTCTATGGGTGTAACTATTTTACGTATACTTCATGCAAGTGGAACCATGAAGTTCTCCTTCTGTGACTGAGAGTTTAATTTAGCTTAATGTCCTCCAGATACAATCATACTGTGAAAAATCCATCTTGTTAAAGACTAATTGATGTTCCATTGTGTGCATATGACATATAATCTTTACCCATTCATCTATCAAAGGGTGTGAAGACTACTTGCATAAATTAACCCTTGTGTAGTTCTACAGTAATGTGGGCATTAGCTCTCTCTTTGAGATCCTCATTTCAATTACTTCAGTTATGCCCAGAAGTAGTTTACTAGACAGTGTGAAACTATTATTTTTTATTTTGGGAGGAACTGCCTATTATTTTTCATGTTGGAAACACCATTTACATTTCCAAAAGCAGTATAAAACTGTTGTTTTTTTTTTTCGGGACTGGGAGTGATAGAACAGCAGGTAGGGCATTTGCCTTGCACGCGGCTGACCCCGGTTCAATTCCCAGCATCCCATATGGTCCCCCAAGCTCCACCAGGAGTAATTCCTGAGTGCATGAGCCAGGATATCCCCTGTGCATCGCTGGGTGCGGCCCAAAAAAACAAACAAAAAAATCTGTTTCTGTTTCATGTTTTTAAGTTGTATTTGATTCCACAACATGTTTTAATTGTGTGAAATTGGTATAAATCTGTGCAAACCTCTATAGTTTCAATTAGGAATAGTACAGTTAGACAGGGCTATAGGCATGTGTTGGGGGTGGTTTTTTTTCTGTGTTATTCTGTCACACTGTCTTGTTTTGACTACCCTTGAAAGACCATAGGACCCAGAGAGCTAAACGCGGGACAAGGCATGTACATCTACCCAGGTGAAATCATCTCCCAGTCCAACCCTTCTGTCTCAATTCTAGATACAAACAAGAAGATATTAGCAAGGTCTTCTTCATGCTACTTTCTTAGAAACATGTCCACGTGGTTTATAGGCTACTGAAGTAGTTCATGCTGTCTCTAAGATTTACACTATTTCAAAAACGTATGCAAATTGTTGGATTATAGTTCCAAGCATTTTAGGTTTAACGTTTGATTGTCCTTTCTCCTCCTGCAAAGAGCTTAGGTTAATTGAATTACCCCCACTTTAGTGCTCCTGGGGGCACAACCTATCCCATAGGGGCTCTTCTGATCCTCTATGTTTATCTTTAACCTCTTCTTTGCATTCTTCTTTCCCTAATTGTTAATCAAAAATATCTCCAAATCCGACTCTGTAACTTGTACAGTCAAACCTTCTGATAGCTCTGGATTTTCTATATATATAAGTAAAATATTGCTTTTCTCTTTCCTTTATGTACTTTGCATATTTTTATTTTAGAACAACATTCTTTTTGTATAGATACATGAAGATAATTAATGCTATGCTTTTGTAATATGCAAGTTAATTGATTCTGAATCATATTTATTTCTGGGCATCTGTCATCTTACTTTAATGAAGCTTCAGTTGCCCTTAGGTTGACCTTAGTTCCTTACACCCCAAATGTTGGGTCCCACTGAGGTACTTGGATGACCCAGGTCAAAGTGTAAGCTACTCTGGCTTCAACATGAGAAAGCCTAAGGGCCATAAGAAGTATATTAAGTTAAGAACACAGTTATGGAACAAACTCTGACATTGCCCAAAAAGAAGTAACTGAATAAGGACTCTACTGAAGTTAGGAAAAACTAACCTGGCCTGAGGACTGTGGTCTGGGAAATACAGCGAGATGTCCCCAGTAAAAGCCACCCTTTACCATGAATCCAGAGAGAATATTTAAGCTTAAACTAGGGCATACTTAAAAGTCTATATCTCTTATTGTGTTCGTACAAAATTATTAGAAATATTATTTAAAAGTAGATTTAATATGATCATTTAAATGGGTTACCAGTAAAGGAAAGGAGAAAGCAATATGCCCTTAGATGGAATTTCACCCTTGGGCAGATCTCCTCGAAGGAATCTAGAGTGCTGGAGCTCCTAGATGAAATTTCCCTCTTGAGTGGATCTCCTTGGAGAATTTCCCCTGAAAGAGGGTTTTTACAATTTGTTCATTGTTTAGGCTACTGTTCAATCACACCTTTGTGTAGTTACTGTCCGCAGTCCTTCATGATTTCCCTATAAGAATGATTGATTTGAATAAAGTGCCTCTGGTTACCAGCCTGTGGACCCATTCCTTTGGCCATTGACCAGGGAATGTCATTGGCCCTGAATGCATCTGGGGGCCCCAGTCTCTGCAGGACAACTGGCACCTGAACAGAGATGCCTCAGACTCAAACAGATATGTATAGAAGCTATTAGTCCATTGTATTGATGATCCTTTGGTAACTAGCTTATTTTGTGTCACATACCATGTTAGGGTATGTCCACATTGTTACGTGTTCTGTATTTTACACCTTTTTAAAAAAAATAACATTACATTGTTTTTATATTCGCCTTATCTATTGTTTTTCCAGTGCATAAGCATTTCTTCCATCATCATCATTTGTGAATAATGCTACTTTAAGCAGGCAGAGCCTGGCAAGCTACCCCTGATGTATTCAATATAATCACAGTAACAACAAAGTCTCCAATGGAGACGCTACTGGGCCCACTCGAGCAAATTGATGAACAACAGGAGGACAGTGACAGTGACAGTAAGCAGGAAGCTTCCTTCTGGAACCCTGTTTTCAGTTACAGGGACAGCTATATCCAGGAGAGGAATTTTGCACAATGTGATAATTGCATTCAATTTTTTGAGTAATTGTACTAATGTTTCCATCAGAAGCTGAACCATTTTATATTCTCACAAACAGTTCACAAAGATTGCAGTATCTCCATATTCTAATAAATACTTGAAATTTTCTTATTGCTTTTAAGAATAGTCATTTTTCCAACAGCACCATTGTTGGAACACTAAATGCCTGGAACAACTGTATTACAAACAACCTTGTAAATTACAGTGTTTTAATTTTCTAAGTCATTTTAATAAACAAAGTTCCTGTATTGTGCACTGGTTTTGTACGTGGTATGTATTTTAATTCTCTTAATAATGTTTTGAGTAGCATGCATGCACATGAAGTGAAGAAATAGACATAGAAAGATAAGTAGAGATAGAGAAGAAGAAATGTTTAGGATAAGAAGAATCCAGCAAAGCACATTAAGAAGTCACTACAGAGCCCTGCTTTTAATCAGCAATCTATGAAATTGTTCCCTAGAAAATTTTCCCCCTTAATGCCCAAAAGTAGAGACAGTATGGGGAAAATTTTCTTCCATAAAGGCAGGGTAAGGGGTGGATGAGGGGGTAATACTGGGGACATTGGTGGAGGAAAATGTGCACCAATGTGAAATGTGAAAGAGGGATGGGTGTTCGATCATTGTATGACTGAAACTCAAACATGAAAACTTTGTAAGTATTACTCATGATGATTCAATAAAAAAATTAGATTTCATTTCCATTGAACAGTGATGTCACATATTTTGTTCCCAAGATAGTGTCCATGTTCAGGACTAAATTCATTCACAACTTTCACCAGACAGAAATAGGTCCCTAAAGGTGAGTGAAATGCACTGCACACAGTCACTTGGATAAAACATGACACTATGGCAATTGTTGTGTTCAGTATTGCAAAGTTCCCTATATCTTCTATTTTCCTTCACTCCCAGACGACACTGGAGCAGCATGAGGCAGGAAAACCAGAGCCGCGTGTCTGAATTTGTCCTACTAGGCTTCCCCATCCCCCAGGAGCAGCAGTTCCTGTTCTTCACTCTCTTTCTGGTCATGTACCTGACCACAGTGCTGGGAAACCTGCTCATCATCCTGCTCATCAGGATAGACTCTCGTCTCCACACACCCATGTACTTCTTCCTCAGTCACCTGGCTCTCACTGACGCCTCCTTCTCATCGGTCACTGTTCCAAAGATGCTGCTGAACATGCAGACTCAGCGCCCAGCCATCTCCTACTCGGGGTGCATTTCACAGGTGTATTTTTATTTGGTTTTTGGCTGTGTGGATAACCTCCTTCTCTCGGTGATGGCATATGACAGGTATGTGGCCATTTGTCATCCTCTACACTACACCCTCATCATGAGGAACGAGCTTTGTGTGCTGCTGGTAGCTGGCTCCTGGATCATCTCCTGTAGCAGTGCCCTCTTGCACACCCTTCTCCTGACCCAATTGTCCTTCTGTGCTGATAACGTCATTCCCCACTTCTTCTGTAGTCTCTCAGTCCTGCTTAAGCTGTCCTGCTCCAACACATCTCTCAATGAGCTGGCCATATTCACTGCAGGGGCTGCTACGGTTGTCTTTCCACTGACTGGCATCCTGGTCTCTTATGGTTACATTGGGGCCTCAGTTCTACGGGCTCCAGCCACCAAAGGTATCAGCAAAGTCTTGTCCACCTGTGGCTCCCACCTCTCTGTGGTCTCTCTGTTCTATGGCACAATTGTGGCAATATACTTTTCCCCTTCGTCAAGCAACTCCAATAACAAAGACATGATTGCCTCTCTGATGTACACAGTGGTGACCCCCATGTTAAACCCCTTCATCTACAGCCTAAGAAACAGAGACATTAAATTAGCTTTGAGGATTCTTTTCAGAAAGGGGGTCCTCCTTGCCAAGTGAGAGTCATCCAACTATGCTCTAATATCAACCCTACTTCCAGATGCCTAAAAACTGTGTGTTTGTTCCTCAAAAAAAAAAAAAATCTAGAGATTGAGCTCCCAGTAATACCACTTCTGTAAATATACCCTGGGGGTCCAAACATACAGCATAAACAATATCTGCACTCCTATGTTCAGTGCAGCACTATTCACAATTGCCAGAATCTGGAAACAACCTGAGTGCCTGAGAATAGACGAATGGATAAAGAAGCTATGGTATATCTACATGATGGAATACTACACAGCTGTTAGGAAAATGAGGTCATGAAATTTGCCTATAAATGGATGGACTTGGAGAGTATCATGCTGAGTGAAATGAGTCAGAAGGAAAGAGATATAGAATGACTGCATTTATTTGTGTGATATAAAAAAAAAGTATGAAACTAATATCCAAAGCCATAGAAAATGGGCCATGACTGGTCAAAGATTGGAAATTACCACAAGGGTGTGGGAGATGGAGGATAGATAAGATAGAGGAGGGCCCATCGTGACTATACTAGTTGGAAATGATCACTCTGGACAAGAACTGAGTTTTGAAAGTAGGTAAAGGGATATACATGATAACCTTTCAGCATCTGTATTGCAAACCATAATGTCTGGAATGAGAGAGAGAGAGAGAGAGAGAGAGAGAGAGAGAGAGAGAGAGAAGAGGTACCTGACACAAGGCAGGCAGGTGTTGGGGATGGCTTGAAGAGGGGGAGGGAAACTGGGGACACTGATGCTGGGAAATTACACTGGTGGAGGGATGGGTGTTGGAACATTATATGACTGAGACCCAATCATGAACAGTTTCATAATGCTCTGAAAAAAAATGTGTGTGTTTGGGAGACATAGAGGTAGCATGGCAAGTGAGGCACTTGCCTTGCCTATGACTGACCCTGCTTCAATCCCTGGCACCTGGAACCATATATTATCTCAAGTCTGCCATGAGTGATCCAGGAGAAAACAATGAGTGATGCTGGATGTGGTCCCCCCAAAAAAAAGACAAAGAAAGGGGGAAAGAGAGAGAGTTGAGAGAGTTGTCTGTTTGTCCAGCATCTTCCCAGCTGTACCTTCAACAGCAGCTGTTTGGTATCCAACCCCTTTCTTATTGGGGAGAACTTGTGGCCACATCCAGGCCATGCCCACGGCCTATTTCTGTTCTGTGCTAGTTACCCCCAAAATGCTCAAAGGACCATGCAATGCTCAATGGAACCCAGGCCTATAGCATCCACCTGACCTATTGAGCCCTCTGCACACACGTCAATCCCCTTACTTCAGTCATCAGTCTTCCATGACCCTAAATATAACATTGCCCACAATGCACATTTATTTTCATAGGACAAAACTTATTAGCAGGTGTACAATTGATCTCATTGAACAGTTACTCTATTTTCCTATCTTCTTTGAGAGAAATGATGGTTTGCTGTAATAATGAAATACATGCAAAACACCTCTCTAAAAAGAGAATATGACATCAGATTATACACTCGTGTTTAAAATTAATAAAAAAAAATCTGTATATCGGAAACAGCCTATGTCTGTCTCATTAATTCAAGTCTGGGGAAATGTGTGTTGATTTGCTCCTAAACTGAAAGAATTCACTTCTAACAGAGACAAGAATATCCATAAATTTCTATTTCATTGACACAAAAGCATGTACATGTATTTACGAATACTATGTTCCAGGCATACAAGTCCTGAAATACAAGTTAAGAATACACAGGCTGGGGCTGGAGCGATAGCACAATGGGTAGGGCATTTGCTTTGCACGCGGCTGACACGGGTTCAGTTCCCACCATCCCATATGGTCCCCCGAGAACCACCAGGAGTAACTCCTTAGTGCAGAGCCAGGATTAACTCCTGTGCATCGCTGGGTGTGACCCAAAAAGGAAAAAAAAAAAGAATACACAGACCCAGGGCTGGAGCAATAGCACAGTGTGTAGGGCATTAGTCTCGCACAAGGCTGACTCGTGTTCAATCCCCAGCATCCCATGTCATCCCTATGCACTGCCAGGAGCCAGTAGTAATCCCTTAATTGATCTCCTACACTGTCATTGTTTCTTTACTGTAGCACTGTAGCACTGTCATCCCATTGTTCATCCATTTGCACCAGTAACATATCCATTTGTCCCTGTCATGTGCTAGTGTAGCCCAGTGGCATCTGCTCACTCCAGGAACACGAAGTGAAACTTGTTGTTACTGTTTTTGGCATATCGAATATGCTACAGGGAGCTTTCCAGGCTCTGCTGTGCGGGCAAGATACTCTCCATAGTTTGCCGGGCTCTCCAAGAGGGACGGAGGAATCGAACCCAGGTCGACTGCATGCAAGGCAAACGCCCTACTCGCTATGCTATCGCTCCAGCCCAGGAGTGTATATATACGTCTAAAACAGTGCCCTCTCGGAGAGCCCGGCAAGCTACAGAGAGTATCCCACCCACTCTACAGAGCCTGGCAAGTTCCCCTTGACTCTTCAATTTGCAAAAAAAAACCAGTAACAAGTCTCACAATGGAAACGTTACTGGTGCCCACTCAAGCAAATCGATGAACAGGAGGACTGTGCTATAGTGCTACAGTCTATATTCCTGACATTATCACCACAAATCACGGAGATTGTGAGCCCTCTTGATGACTTCCTTCCTTCACCCCCATTCTTGCCCCTCCCATCTGTTCCAGAGGAAACCACCAGTCTCTTCCTGCCACATAAATTAATTGCATCTCCTACAAGTTTATCTAAATGGGAAATTCACCATACATTCTTTTAATCACTGCACTTTTTTTCAGCTTTAGCATTTTGAGATTCATTGATACTGTATATCATTGATATTGTATATTGTATATTCATTGTATATTGTATATTCATTGATATTATATATTGTATATCAATTTTATTTATTGTATATCAATTTTATATTTATTTCTGTATTTCGCATTTATTTCTTTTTCAAGGTATTTTTAAACTTTATTTTTATAGTTTGGGTAATGTGTTTACAATAGTATTAGCATTTATGATCTGGGTGTACACACTTACCACATCTCACCACCACCAACGTATCCAACGCCATCCACCAATGTCCTAATATTACCTCAGTAGGCCAGTAGGTTTATAAAAAAATGTTCTGTATCAGTTACCATCAAGGAAATGCAAATAATGCCAGTGAGACTAGCACACATCAAAAAAAGGATGGGGGAATCAGTGTTTTGAGGTGGTGGGGGAAAAGAACTCCTCGTCCACTCTTGATGGAATGTCAACTGGTTCAATACTTTTGGAAAACAATGTGAATTATTGTCAGTAAATGAAGGCTTGAGCTTCTATATGACCCAACAACTCCACTTCTTGGCTCTAAACCAAGGACACAAAAACTTTTATTCAGAAAAGACATTTGCAGTCCTATATTTATTGCAGCAGTATTCATGATAGCCAAAATCTGGAAATAGCCCACGTGTTCAAGACCAGGTGACTGGAAAAAGAAACTATGATATATAGATATAGATATAGATATAGATATAGATATAGATATAGATATAGATATAGATATGCACAACGAAATACTACTTGGCTATGAGAAAAGACAAAATCATGTCATTTGTCTCTCCACGGTTGAATCTGAAGAGTATCTTACTGGGTAAAGTTAATCATTAAGAGGATGACAGATTCATAATAATCTCTCTCATACATGGGATATCAAGAAATCTATTAAGAAGATAGCCAATGATCAAAGGCAACAAAACAGGAGAATTGTTCTACAGACTCAGTTTACCATGGCAAGGTGGGTGAGATAATGGTGGCAGAGGACTTAAGAGGAGGGGTGGGACACTGAGATACTGAGGTAATACGGTGGAGGAAGTGAGTACACTGGTGGATATCATGGGGTTATTACATCAAATGTATGAAATACTTTAGTTCGTGTTATAAATCAGTGTGCCCAAATAAAAATTTAAATATTAAATAAATAAAAAGCACACTTCATAAACACTCATAATCTCTACAATATGATAGCAATAAATCTTTTTTCTCAAAAAAAATCCTGCTTAAAGTCTGAACTCACCAGGCAAAAGACAGAGTAACCATATTGATGAGAAATGTCATCTCAATCATCAATCATCAAAAAGTAAGTATGCTTCTTGAAAAGACAAGAATTGGACTTCATTTTGAGCCATAAATTCCACTTTTTGGCATCTAATTAAGGAACTTAAAAAACATAAATTTGAAAAGGTATTTGCACTTCTATGTTCATTTCAGTGCTATTTCACAATAGCCTACATCTGGCAAACGAAATGCCCAAGAACAGTTGAATGGATAAATAAATTGGTATATGTAGGCAGAATAATTATTACCCAGCATAAGAAAAGATAAAATTCTTGAAGTTCGTTGGCTTATGGATAGAACTATAGGATATCATACTCAGCAAAAGTGTTAAAGGGAGAAGTACAAACACTAAAAGATGGCTCTCATATGAGGACTATTAAGAATTTTTAAGTGGAGAATAAAAATGACCAATGATAACAGATGATAAATCTAATAGGAGTTTCCC